ACATAGGGCAGTTTTATGAAATTTGAGTATTCATGAATCAACACCAGCTAGGCAGGATGGTACACTCCCCTAATCCCAGCAATCCAGAGGCTAAGGGTGGAGGATCCTTGCCAATTTAAGACCAGTGAGAACCACACAGCTGGACTCTTTCTAACAAGTATGTAAAATGGATCAATCATAATCAAACTATGCATGAAAGAGTGAAAGAAACACAGAAAAACTTCTGATAGTCTTGAGAGGAAATAAAGTCCTATATCATCAAAAAAAAAACTCTGAAATTCTACAAAGGGAAATGTGAGAATATCAGGTAACACTGCAGGAAGCTTTGTGGATTTGAAGTCCCAAGTAAGAGTACAAGGAATTGAGTAGATTGAATCCTATGAACACTCAAATCTATTGGCCAAAACATGCTTGTAGGAAGAAGTCCCCATTTAGGAGAAACTTCTGGAGAAGTACAGTCCTACTTGAGTTGGTCAAGAACAGAAAGTGCCAAGAATTCAGAAATTTCAGTCCTAAATAAAGAAAAAATGCTATAATCCAGGCATAGTGCCTCATCCCTGTAATCTTAGCACTCAGGATTACTCAGGATGAGGTGGGAGGATTGTTAGAAGTTCGAGGCCAGCCTGGGCTACAAAGTGAGTTCAAGGCCAGCCTGAAATGCATATCAAGACCCCGTCTCAAAAAACGAAAAAAGAAGAAATGATATGAAAACAACCAAAGAGTTTACTGTAGGATGAGTCCAGCTCCTCTTGTTCTACTTGGCATCTACTAGAGAAATAATAATCTCAGGGACTGTGTGTGGTGGATATCAGTGTTAGCTTATATTCTTGCACATGTGTGAAGATTTGGGATTCATTTACACACACACACACACATACATTCACACACACACACATGCACACACGCACACGCACGCACAGAGATATCCAAACACACACTTCATGTCACCCGAACAAGATAAAGTGAGCAGATCATACACTTCAATGCAATGCAGTGTTATTATGATGATAAAGAGGAGTGTGAAATAGAAATAAATCCCTGCATATTGGAGGCACATCAAAGTTACACATATGGAAATAAAAAGTATATTTTAATAAAATATAGCCTATGTATGAAGTAGTATAACAGCTAGAAAAGCTCTGAACATAATGTTGAAAATAGCACAATAACTTAAAGATCCAGAAAATTTAACAATTTCTCAGGACTTTAAAATACCATCCTTGCAGGTTGCTTTTTTTTAAAGTGATGGTGTTTTGGATTAAATCTTGAGCTATCATACCGATTTAGATTATATTGTTTGAAACAAGGTCTCACTAATTTGCTAAATTACTTAGGCTTAGTCAGATATTTTGGCAAACCTATTTCAGTCTACCAGGTGGCTGACATTAAGTAATCTCAGGCTCATGCCTCTTAAATTGAAATTTTAAAACCAAAAATTCTACACAGCATTTTTACCTGCCATTGTTACTTCAAGTACCTTTGGAGTGACTGGTCACATGACTCTGTGCCAGTTAATCCAAATCATCAATTTGATGAGATTAAGAGTCTCCGACTGCATTTTGTTTGGTAGTATCAAGTTTGAGGTTATAAGCAACCACTTTGAAGGCAATAAGATTCACTATGATTCCCATTATGGTTTGACTATTATCTTCTTTTGAAATCATGTAAGGTCTCCAGTGTAGGTTTTATTGATCTTGTTATGTATTATTTTGATCAATTCTATTATACTGACTCTGTTTGGTTTAGTCATATTAGGTTTTATTCACCTCAAAAAAGTAATAAGAACTGTGGGAGTAAAAAAAACTCAAAAAGTATAATTGTTATTAAAAAGAGAGGAAAGGAAGGTGGTCTAAGGGATATAACCGCATGTATGTTTGAGTGTGTAGGACGGAAATCCATATTACTGATCTTTTGTTGGACCATTGAATGGTACGGTCTGCAATCTCGTTATATGAATGTACACTTTATATGCTTTAATTTTAGAATTTGGACAACTGTTTTTAGATGACAATATGTAACCTATTAACTAGTGATATTTTACTGTATTTTTTCTTGAAATTCTGTAGTACTTGTACCATTTACTGTTTTGTTTTTTTTACTTCCTTTTGTTTTTTCTTCTTTAAATAAAGAAAAAAAGAGTCTCCTGACTTGAGGACTATACTTCTGAGGGGATTCATCGATGGATGTTCATAGTTAAATGTGCTGTTAAGAGTTGGGGCCCCCTGGAGCTGAGTTGTAATGGCTGTGTCTGGGGTGGGGGAGAATCTCTTGCTGCTGTTTCTCTTTGATCCTTTCCTTCTTGCCATGAAAACAACAAATTTGCTCTACCAGGAAGTTCTTTTATGAAGTTTTTGCCTGGAGCCACTAAACTCTGAGGATACAAATCAAACTTCTCCTCTCCTATGTTAGGTGATATGTGTCAATTATGTTTGTCTCAACAATGGAAATGCTGACCAGTGGTTCAGCAGTTTGCACAGCTCCCTGAATTTATTGTACATTGCCATGGTTTGGGTATGGTTTGAATTGCTTTTTTTATTTTTATTTTTATTTATTTATTTATTTATTTTGGTACTAGAGATAAAATTCATGTCTATATACTTGCAAACTAGGAGCTTAATCTACTGATTTGTGCTGATTTGAACTCTTAAGTTTCATTTTCCAGGAAGTGGGTTCATAGTGTAGCAGTGATAAAGTAATGAAACCTTAAGAGTTAGAACCTACTATAAGTTAATTAGGATATTAGAGCACTACACTCAGGGATAGAGAAAGTCTGGCTCACACAGGGGAGTAAGTGAAGCTGAAAATGGATCACATGTGTGGCCAAAGCAAGGTTAGTAGGAAGAACAGTGACTTCCTGAGTCAAGTCCAGAGATTACTGGTCTAATTTGAAGACCACTGTGTGCCTGAGACAAGTTATATGGATAAGTTCTTAGATGGAGAGGTTACACATGATACTGAATCTCCCAAAGATACATATAAATGAGCTACAACCAATGGAATGTGACTTCCTCCTGCTCTTTCTCTCTCTCCTCCTGCTTTGTGGTAATTTCCATCAAAAAAGAGGTCTACAAATTGTTTCAGGTTTCTGTACTCTGCCTCTTGTCCTTTTTCCCCATGCTCACACCATTTGTATTCTAGGAAAATTGAAAGTTGCAACTCACAGGTGTGGGTTACATTTCATGAGAATGAATTAATCTCCAAAAGAATGAGTCATCACACTTGAGACTAATGCAGGCCATGAATAATTCAGTAGCAATAACTACTGTTATACCATCCATCCCTAGATTATCACCTGAGACAAATAGATGCCTGAAACATTCTCTTAAATCTCAAGAACAATGAGCTAAGAAAATTACTTCAGAAACTACACTGCTTCAGAAAGCCTTGTTATATCAGCACAAAACACACAGAAATACCAGGACTATTTGAAGAAATGGTTGATTCCACATGGAGTGTAGAGAAAAGATAATGTCTCTGGGATGACTTCTTGCGCTTGAAAACCACAGTAAAAATAAATAGTGATGAAATATACTTGTCTGTAAGAAAGCCCAAGGAAATTCTGTGGATCCCTTTCATTTGCACACTTCCAAATACAACCTAATCCCACCATCACATTTGCTGGACAAAAAGATTAGATAATATGACTTATCTGGGCAACGTGTGCTCAGCTAAACACTAGGAAACCAAAAGCAGAATAGATATTGCTGTTGACAAGCACTTTCTATACCTAAGAAACCAAAAGCAGAATAAATATTCGTGTTGATAAGCAATTTCTACACCTTGTAGTATTCTATTTAATAATCAAGTATAAATTACTGGTTGGACATCTACCCCAAACACTTAAAGAAAAAGAGATAAATAGCAACCAGTTTACAATGTAATAAGATGTGCATAAAGTTCCATATGTGGGTTACATAAAATTTAAACTTTGAACTCAGAAAGAAATGATTAAGGATAATATTGTACCCCCAAAACCAGCCCCCCAAAATGGTGTACAACAATGGGCAAGACATGTTTTGTGAAGAAAAAGGAGCACTGTGGCACCAGTGACACAGTGCACCTGCAATTTGCAAAGCTGTGTAACCTGGTTAAAACATTTTGCAGACTTTTATACAAAGTACAATTAAGAAGAACTTTGTTTCTCTTTGCTTGAAAACAGAGAAGTTTTGCAGGAATATACAATCCTTTGTCAGCTAAGTTGAGCACATAGTTTTAGATAACATCTGTAGTTTTCATAGGAAAACAATGGTTAACATATCAATCAGGTCAGATACCCAGGAATTTACATTCCTTGCAGAGGGGAGAAATGGTTAACACATAAATTAGGTGAGATTCCCAGAAATTTACAGTCCTTTGCAGAGTGGAGCAATGGTTAACATATCAATTAGTTCAGGAAGATGTTGTATACCAAATAGTATGATGGCACTACAGCTATTTTATAACAATGTGGTCAGTGCCCCAGGGTGTTTGAATGTAGAAAATAGTTGTGTCTGCAAAGGGAATTAACAAGTAATTTGGTCATATAACTTGAGCATTGCAAACATAACACAAACATAATGAAGCTCTTTTTGCTTGTGTGCAGCATTTCCCATTGATTTTTTGTCAGTGAACCAAATCATTGACTCATGGGTTTTCCAGACATAGGTATCTGATTATAACCTTGTGTCTTTAAAATCATGAGCTTTATATTTTGACCTCGAGCTTTGACATAGTTTAACAATTTGTTTATAATAAAAGGTCCAATAGTTACACAGATGAGGAGGATTAACAAAGGTCCTGTTCACTGCTGTTATTAAGGTTGTTAACCAAAGGGAGAACAAAAAGCCAACATTTAAACTAGCTCTGTTCTGCCTGCCTCGCTTCTTCTTGCAATCGATTTTTGAGGTCAATCATGACTCCAGAATGATTGGTATACAAGCAACAAGTTTTTTTCTAAAGCCATACAGATACCTCCTTCCTTTAGAGGAGGAGATCAAGACCCCACCGGTTTTTGTAAAACCATGCCAGCCAGTGAATTTAAAGAATCTGAAAGTCATAAGATTACACTGGTGGAGGCGCAGGAAGATGGGGTCTCCCATGTAAGGAAAAGGTAATGATCTCCTTGGGGTCTCCATAAGGGAGAACACATAAGAACAAGATTATTGGATACATTTGGCAATCCTAAGCTTTACAAAGTCCTTGGAGGGAACGACAGTACACTTATCTGTAGGTTGATCACCATCAGATGTCGGGACCAGCTTGAAGTGGGAAGGATGAACTGAGGCAGGCTTTCTAGTGACTTTGACAGAAGTTGGAATGCTGAGGACCACAGTGTGGGGATCTTCCCATCACAGCTCAAGAGATTCACAGTAATGCCTATTGGTGAGGACTAGTGTCCCAGGTTCTACTGCAGGGCATTCATCCTCATAGTGGCCTGCAGTCTGAGGATGTTGTTGTCTGAATAACCATTGGATGGAAATCAGAACTGGCTGAAGGGCCTGGAGTGACTTAATAAGATCTTTATTAGCTAAATCAGCTATTTTTTTCCTCAGAAATCTTAGGAATAAGAGGGTGGGGTCTCCCATACAAAGCCTCTGAAGGGGAAACACCTGCAACATAGGGGGTACATCACCAATACAAAAAAGCAAAAGGAAGGAGACTCACCCAGTTCTCACCAGTTTCCAAGGCCATCCTAGTTATTACCCTTTTTAAAGTCTTTTTTTTATCCTTTCTGCTTGTCTGAACTTTGAGGCCAGTAAACACAATGGAGTTTCCAATGAATCTGCAAAGCTTGGGTTAGCTTTTGAGTTATCTGGGCTATAAAAGCCAGGCCATTGTTGGACCCGATGGATAAGGGGAGGCCAAATCAGGGAAACTGCTATCAGTGTGGTCTCAGACTTAGTAGCCAAAGCTTTGACCCATCCAGTGAAAATTATCTATCATTACTAATAAGTACTTGTCCCGTGGAAGTCCAGGCTTTCTCATTTCTCTGAAATCTACTTCCCAATGTTCTCCAGGCATAGGGCCACGGTAGCCAGTGGTTTCTATTTGTTTCAGTCACGTTGGGTACCTTAATTCACATTGAGGGAATCTGAGACTCACAATTGGGTATGTTTTGATATTAACCCCCAGGGATGGCTCAAAATTGAGCAGCCAGATGCAAGTCTTTTCAAATATAAATAGGCTCTGACAGAGTAGATGAGATCAATAGTCATGTAAGGGCTCTCTCAAACTCCACTTGTTTTGTGACTGCCTTTCAGGAGGTGGTGACTGCCAAATTATTTCCTCATATAACAAGGTCATCTCCTGCAGATGGGCTCTATAATGGATAATAGGCACTTTTCTTGGCATCAAGATGGCAGCCAACAAGTCCAAATATTAGGGAGCATTTTTAGTCTTTTGGCACCCAGAATTCAATAATCCCCATTCCTCATAAATAGCCTCATGAATGTGAGCTGTAGCAAATGCATATCTGCTATCAGTATAGATATTTATATCTTTACCTTCTAACAGCTTGAGGGTCTCAGTGAGAACAATGAGTTCAGGTCCTTTGCCAATGTCCCTGGCTCCATGGTTTGTTCCCACAGAATCTGAAAATGTGTAGTGATGGCAGCTCCCGCAACCTGCTTACCTTGATAGATGTAACTGCTTCCATCAGAGAAATATGATGATTCCCGGATAGTGGCTCATCATTCAAGTCTGGTCCCCAATATAGTTGTGGAGGGTCAAGAAGGGTTTATCATCAGGCAGCAGAGTAGCAGGGTTTAAAGTCACTGTCCCCTTAAAACTGATGGTAGTTGGATCCAGAAGTAATGCTTGATAATGCATGACTTGGGAGTTGGGCAGCCATCAGTCTGGTGGAGCCCTGATGAGAGTCTCCAATGAATGGGAGGGGACAACTAAGAGTTTCTGTTCAAAAGTCAATTTTTGAGCCTCCTCTACCAGGAAGGCCACCAAGGAAATCTCCCTCAGACAAGGTGGCCATGCGACTGCCACATAATTATATCTCTTGGAAAGATAGGTAACAGGCCGCTGCCAGGGTCTCAAACTATGGGTCAGTCCTATGACTCCTAGAAATTTTTGCATTTGCTTTTTAGTCATGGAAATTGAAATCTGTCAGATGGCTTGCACCTGCTGGGAGGAAAGAGTCCATTTTCCTTCCTGGATTTGGTAACTTAAGTAGGTCACATTCTTTTGGCATATTTGGGCCTTTTTGCAGAGACCCTATAGCCCAGCTCATTTAAAGCCCACAGAAGATCTTTAGAAAGTCCTCTTATCAATGCCCCTTCTCTTAGCAATAAGTACATTGACCTTTATCTAAGGACGGATGAAAATTCGTATCAGACTAGGTGAATTTTTCGGCTAGCATTTCCAGCAACTTTGTCTACTTCTGGTGCTAAGGGTCCTCCTGGTTGTCAAATACCTTTTGGGCAATCTCTAATAACTGACTGAGGGACATTTCCTCAAAACCCTCAAATTTTTGCAATTTTTGCTTAATATCAGGGGCTGACTGGGTTACAAAGGCAATATTAATGGTCCTTGCGTTTTTAGGTGCTACCGATGTATAAATGTGATTGGCCTTTTGCAATCTTTTCAGAAAACTCTGAGGGAGACTCATTAGCCAGTTGTCTCACTTCTGCTACCTTGGGCAAATTGGTGGGTTTTCTTGGGTGGCCTTAATGACTATCTAGATGGTGATACCAATGGAGAACCTCCTTACCTCTGGTTGTCCAATTGGTGTGGGACAAAGGGAACACATGGTTTTGGCATTCTGGATCAGAGGACAGGTTTCATCTGGATGGCACACTGCTTTTTTGGCCCACGGTGCCACGTGGCAGCCCATTGTTCTACTGAAATTATGTACTTAACAAAAGAGAGCTTTTTCATAGGTAACAAAATTAACTGTGCCATATAGTCTCCCAGATTTGCACAGCACATCTAAGAACTTGTATTTTATCTTTGTAATCACTAATCACCTTAAGCACAAAAGTTATTCCTTTTAAATTTAGATTAGCTTTTTCCTGCACAAGACCAACTGTTCCTTTAGATGGGGGACCCCAAATTCCTGTCCCAGAAAACATTTCCTCTTTTACATTCTGGCACAGACAGGCATTTTTACTTTAATACAAAACCACCTTCTTTATCCTTCTTTTTCTCATTGTTTAACTTACTACCAGTCAGTTATCTCCTCTCTGGCTTTTGTAGACAACATTAAAACCTTTAACAAATCCTTGAAGTGACTTTCATTTAACAGTGTAAAACATATTTAATCATTTCATGTCATTTCATTACTTTAAAAACTGTAGCTTTCTTAACTGGCTCAATTACAGTATGACCTGGTTTCACTTGTTAAAGTTAATGTTTTTTAAAATCCATATATATATATATATATAATTTTAACCAGAAAGAAAAATACTTTTAAAAGCATGTCGAGCTTGTAAGTAATCAACTGAGAACTAAAATACTAAACAAGGCATCACAAAAACAAGACCAACATTAAAGGCACAAATGAAGTTTTTTCTGTCCACAGTTTAGCAATCTAAAGAAATAATTTTCATTATGAACCTTGAGTCCAATGAGCCACATGGATCCTGCAACAGAAATGGTCCAGGACCCCCTAAGTTAGTAACAAATCCACCAAGTTCAAATGGGAAAAAATATCCCAAAATTAGTAACAGATTCAAATTGGCAGTCAACTCCAAAGTAAAAAACACTGAACATAGAGGCAAATGAGCAAGAAGCCTCAAATCACAAATCAGCGAGCCACCCCAAAGCACAAACAGGTGTAAAGTCCCAAAGCACAATTGGGCCCAAAAGCACAAATGGATGAAAAGCCCAAAGCACAAAGAGGCCCCCAAGCACAAACAGGCCCCAAAGCACAAACAGGCCCTAAAGCACAAATGGGCCCCAAAGTACAAATGGGATCCGAAGCACAAATGGGCCCAAAAGCACAAATGGGCAAGAATCCCAAATCACATATGGGTAAAAAGCCAAAAACAGAAACTGGAAAAAGCCCAAATCACAAAGGGGCAAAAAGGCCCACATTAAAAATGGGCAAAAGCTTAAAACAAGTTTCATAGGAATTTACAATTTATTGTCAGCTAATTGTAGCCCATAATTTTAGATAACATCTCTCCTTTGCAGAGGGGAACAATGCTTAACATATCAATCGGGTCAGATTCCCAGAAATTTACAGTCTTTTGCAGAGGGGAGCAATGGTTAATGTATCAACCAGATTAGATTCCCAAGAGCTTACAATCCTTTGCAGAGAGGATTGATGGTTAACATATCAGTTAAGTCACCCATGAAGATAGTGCATACAGAAGAGTATGATGGTGCTACACCTTTTTATAACAATGTGGTCAGTGCCCCAAGGAGTCTGATTGTAGAAAATATTTGTGTCTGCAAAGGGAATTAACAAGTAATTTGGTTATATAACTTGGGCATTGGTAAACACAACACAAATATAATGAAGCTCTTTTTGCTAGAATACAGCTAAATTACAAATGGGCGAAAAGCCTCCAGGTGTCCCATTCTGACTGAAGTTACAAAGGTGTGCACCCACATGATAAACAGGCTAAAAGACCCAAATACTTACAGATGTTTAGTTGATCAATTGGTGAAATATAATTTGGTTAAGGGTCGCCCATTATTCCCTGATGAACCCCCAAATGTTGTACCCCCAAAACAAGCCCCTGAAAATGGTGTCCAAAAATGGAGCAAGCTATGTTTTGTGAAGAAAAAGGAGCACTGTTTATTTAACCTGGCACCAGTGACACAGTGCAATTGGAGTTTGCAAAGCTGTGTAACCCACTTAAAACATTTTACAGACTTTTATAGAAAGTTCAATTAAGAAGACTTTTGTTTTCCTTTGCTTGAGGACAGAGAAGTTTCACAGGAATTTACAATTCGTTGTCAGCTAATTTTAGCACATAATTTTAAGGTAAACACATCAATCAGATTAGATTCCCAGGAACTTACATCCTTTGCATAGGGGAGCAATGGCTAACTTATCACTTAAATCACCCACGAAAATGTTGCATACAGAACAGTATGATGGTGCTACAGCTTTTTTATAACAATGTGGTTCAGTGCTCCAGGGAGTCTGGT